GACTAACTAACATTTCATATTGCGACATCTGGCGTCATCCAAACATCTTAAAGCATTTCATGGCAAAGAGTATATTGATTGCCAAACGCGGCAGCTAAATGGTGCACAAACTGCCAGGAAGTGATTTATCAATTTTATCTCGGAGATTGCTGCCCCACACACCCAAAGGATTTCCGTTTCTTTGTGTATTGTGCCGTAAGTCCTTTAATGTCTAAAGAGGCAAGTCGGACTTTTGTTATTAATTTCTTATTCAAATCACGTCTCATTCAACCAGGGTCAATATCCCGACATGTGGCTGGAATACACGCCTCCCTGATTGAGAGGGGAAAGTGCTTCCGGCTAAATCAGGCAACAAACTTTACTGCAAAATTATCTCACTAATGAAATGGTTAAACCACTCGCCAGGAACTCCAAATGCGGCGAGAACCGGATAATAAATTTGTTGCATCCTGTGAATTGGCGCAATTGCCATCCTCGCAGAGAACTGATGATGCCTCCTGTTGGTACACACAGCAGCTCACACTGACAGATGATATCCAAGAGTAAAACACACAGTGTGATTTATACAAACGTGGACACTTCATTGAGCAGATTTGCTGCACGAACATGGATGAGTTTCAGCGATGTGGAAAACATGAACTCTCCTGAGCCATGCGAAGTAACTCAATTATTTTTTTTTGCCAGCTTGTTGCCTCATCCTTTCAGAAACCCATCGCCGTGATTTCAACCCGCAGAAGGCTACCCTGCGTGGAGGGCACGAAATTATTGCAATATATTGTTGTTAAAATATCAAAACCAGAATGAGATGATCCATATTTGTAGCCATTACCTCGAAACTGGAATAAAGGCTCATTCTCTGACTTAACTAAATCTGGAGAGTATTGGGTACAGGACATCTGGGACCAATGCTTTGGGACCCCACTATGTGCGCTGAGGTCCTGTTGGATATTAAACAGCTAATCAGTAAATGTTTGCAACAGAGAATAACACCCATAATAATAATACTTGCATTGGATGTGGCAAGTTATCACATCTTTGAGACGTCTTCAAATGCTTCACAGAATATATTGCCAAGTGATTTGAGTGTACATTTTGTGAGCGAAACATGCAATTCCAATATGATTTCCCTTCACTCCATACATTGTGATATTAATTGCGGTTTCAGACACAATATATAAAGTCAAAAGACTATGGGTTGAAGCTCTAATTTTGGATACTCCAGTGAAGTGCTAGACACCTCTCTCCAATCTTGCTGTTGTTTCTACCTCTCTCTGTCCGTGCATATCTTTTTGACTGTGTATGTTTCTCCGTCTGTGTGTATGTGTGTATTTTTCACTGAGTCTCTCTCTGTATCTCTCTCTTGCTATGTTCCTGTATCTATCTGTCTCGTTGTTTACGTCGCTATGATTTCGTCTCCCGGTCTGGGATGTCATCCGCAGGCATGGAGTCAATTTCCCTATCGTTGTGGAAGACTCCAAACTCTATCTGGCCACCTCCACCCTTGTGCCAGCAAAATGTCCACAGTTTTCACATTAAATCAAATGTACGAATAGATCATTTTTCATGAGAAACAGGTCATTCCCTTTCTCGCTCTCTGTAGATAGCTTAGTGCCAATTGTGATCTGATTCGGGGATGGTGCGGTCTCTCCAAAAGTATCTCACTCTATCTGGTGGCCATGTCAGTGGTTGATTGGCAGTTGCATATTTCCTGATTGCTTCTCAAATATGTTCACGTCCATCATTTCTCTGTGTTAACTCACAATGATCCTGTTTTCTGCTGCATCCACAATTTCTGTATGGTTAACCGTGACTTTCACCATTTATCAATATGTGGCAATATTTGGCCCATTAGTTGCCAAAATCTGAAAACAAAATATTGATCCTAATAAAACAGCTTGTACACAAATAACGGTATTGAGGCTCCAGCTCTGCTTCAACCATCAGGCCGCTGAAACCATCATCCACGCATTCATCACATCTAGACTGTTTTTGTTAATAATAATACCTTGGTCATTTTGTCGACAACTGGTTGTGAGGCACTGCTGTGCACAATTGTCTGTCACGCTTCGCCGATAAAATATACCGTCAATCCACTTCATAATATATTCTTTGAAGTGCATTGAAACGTCTCAACAAGCTGATAGGTTATATCAAATGCAAGAATTATTAATAATATAATTATTAATATTGCAAAATATTTGATTTGCTATCGGATATTTTTGAATAAATCCTCATAGATTTTGTTGCAGTGAATGAAAAACAGTGCTTAATTTTTTTCTTTAACAGTTAATAATTGTATAGATTCGTTCATATGACAACAGCCTGGTGGATGTGGAGGCGTTGGTGAGTGGGGAGTGATGCAAGTGTGAATGGTGGTAGACAGAGAGAGAGAATGAAAGATACACGCACGCAAATACATGTGATATTAGCACTGCTGATATTCAAGCAATAGTGGTAAGAGTGAGCAAACATCGAGGGCTCCAATTTCCAACACATGCGCACACACAGCGACACAGAAAGTCAAACACACACAACTGAGCTATACAAAAACACAGACACTCTCACACACAGTGTGCAAGAGACACAAACTTAAAGCTGTACTCAAGCACACAGAACACGCGAAGAGAGAGACATACATTTGCAGACATATGGATTAATCCTCTCACAATATCTCCCGAAACCTCGCTTACCCGGGACTGTAGAGGGAATGTGTCCAAAGCGCTCTATTCTGTCTCCAACTGTGACCCGAGACTGTGGACACACAGTGCAGTGGGAATTTTACTATATCTATTCCCTCATCTGGGAGTGTGGACGGACATTATACCATTTCCAGATTTTCATGCATCTGACATGTTATCGGAGTCGACAGCAACGTTTGTTAATGAAATAAACTAACAATTCGAATGAATGGAAATGTCACCACTTTGCTTAGATCCTCCCTGAATTTCGTCTGGGTCACCCAATGAAATCAAAAGCTTCAGCATGTCACCAGTGTGCCACGCAATATACATAGGGACTGTGGAGGTATATGTTTTTGAAAACCTCCAGTATAAGAAATATACAACATACGTAATCCATAAAAATACAAAACTGGTGGAAATAGCAAAGAGTAAAATGATGGATTTCTTTCGGTTCTTCATCTCCACATCACTGTGGTTCGCTTCTCTATTCCTGTCCCCATTACTGTGTCCCCGCAATCTCCTGCGGGCTCGAATGGCCACCACTATGTGCCTCACTGTCAGCGCGTTGAGCAGCAGAATCAGAACGAATGGGAGAATTGGGGCTTGATACTGCCTTGTCTTTTACCTTGATAATGTCTCTTACCTGATTTGCTAACAATGGTTGTGTGCTTACGCATGTGATCAGTACTTTCTCTGGGAGAAATGTTGCTTTGCCCTTGGTCAACATTTTTTGGTCAACTTATATTTCTATAGTGCACTTCACACAGGGAGCGTCCCAAAGTGTTTGCCACTGATGGAGCACGACGCTGGGGGAGGTGGAAGGGGAGGGGAAGATTCTTCAATTATCTTACATGACGCTTTGGGTGCAAAACCAAGTTCCTCCTGAACCCTTTTATATCTGGTCGTGGTTATTATACCTCGGAAATTATTGCCATTCCTGCGGATGATATTACTGAGCAGGAGATATTAAAGAGAATAGGGCAGTTGATGGCGTCCTAAATATGCCACATACGACAGTGCGGGGTGAGGAAGTGAAGCCATTGGCCGATATAATGTGTAGACTTGGGATACATAAGAATGGTAACAAGTAAGTACAGAACTGTGAAACTGGAGCTCAGAGGAATGGTGGAGAAGAATAGAATGGTCGACAGAATAAAGTAGTTGAACAAACACTACATTTAACAACAACACAAGAACAATAACTTATTTTTCAATAGCGCCGCATACCTGACATAGAACAACATAATGATAATTATAACTCTGGAACGCTCTCCCTGAATCTCTTCATCTTGCCGCGTCTCTCCCATTTTTCAAATTCCACCCGAAAACCTTCTTTTTCGACAGCGTTTAGGACCACCTCCCTTACCGGCCGCCAGACTTGTAGTCAAGCTCCACCACTATTAACATCTGAGACCCTACCATCCACCGAGGCGACAGAGAGTGAGAGAGAGACCTGGAGAGGCAGATAGAGAGGCAGAGTGCCTGAGATAGAACGAGAAACATAGAATGGCAGAGAGAGAGAGACTCAGAGAAGCAGAGAGAGAGGCAGTGACACAGACCTTGAAAGACATAGTAACAGAGAGAGACAGAGATACTGAACAACAGTTAGAGAGAGAGTCAGAAATAAAGAGATATGGAGAGAGACACCTCAGTATAGACACCTGATATTAAAAGTGACACAACTTTGTAGACTGTCCCGCCCTGTGACACCGCAGTCCGGAGTCTCATGGATCTGCTCCTCATTCTGTGTCGTGTCTCACATCTCATCACAGCCAATCCTGACATCACAGGCTCACATGTCACACGGAGAGATTGTACATCCGTCCATTTTATTGTGATACCAACTCAACACCAAACAAAATGACATTTGTATATAGTGCCTTTCACATCAGGAGGATGTGCCGGGTAATAAAGGGTTAAATCACGAGGACAGGTTACTTAAACTTGGTCTCTACTCGCGTCAGTTTAGAAGGACGGGGGGTGATCTAATTGAGGATTTCAAAATAATAAAGACATTCGATAGTGTAGACAGAGAGAAACTTAATTCATTGTTGGAGGGAATCCAGAACAAGGGGGGCATCATCTTAACATTAGAGTCGGGACATTTAGGGGTGAAATTAGGAGCGGTTTTTCACTAAAAGGCCAATGGGAACCTGGAACTCTCTACCCCAACAGCTGCGGATTATGGTTGGATCCATTCACGTGGTCCGGACGGAGGTGGTGAGATGTTTGTCAGGTCGGGTTGTTAAGGGATACGGGGTAAAGGCCGGTTAAATGGGGTTGAGGTACGGCTCAGAGGTGACCTAAAAGAAAGGCCGAACAGGCTCGAGGGGCTGAATGGCCTTCTCCTGTTTCTATGTTCCTACGTCACCTCCACTCTCTGCCCAGTAACCCCCGAACGCTCTCTCTGATTGATCGCCCTCACCCCTGTCAGGGGTCAGTGTCAGGTCGGTGCGCAGCCATGTGCTAAAGTAAGGGAAGATTTTCCCAGTGAACGTGTGGGTGAAAGTGAAGAGATGAGACATGTGGTCGGCGTCGTATAGCGACACCTGTCCTCCCGCATAGTCCAGGTACACGCCCAGCACCCGGGGGCTCACACTCAGGGGGAGGGGGATAGGAGGTGATGTTAGAGCTTCATATTCCCCATTGTACAGCTCCACAGCCCAGACTCCACTCTCAGTTCCAGGTGTGAAACTCTCCTTCCTGGGCACAGATCCTCGGGCCACCCCCACTAACCAGTATGTGCTGCTCCACACCGCCACCTCCCAGTAATGTCTCCCTGATGTGAACCCCTCAGATCCCAGTACACTGGGCCTGTGACTGATCCTCTCCATGGTCAAGAACCTGCTGATTTCTGAACCATGTCTCACTCGGGTCCGGTCCTCAGACAGGATGAGCAGAGGATGGGCTGTGTTTGGATCCAGAGTCAGATAGGCTGGAGCTGAAACAGAGAAGGTTGACATGTTTGAGATCGTGTGTTGAACGGTTGACATTATATTTTCAATCCACGACTGTTTGTGGGACATTGCTTTGCGCAATTGGCTGCCGCGTTCGCCCACAAAGATACAGACAATTCACTTTACAGTGTGTTCTGTGAAGCGCTTTGGGATGTCCTCTCGACGTGAAAAGCGCTACACCAGCTGCAAGGATTATAATTTTATTATTATTATATTTCAATGGTTCATTCAGTGAGGTTTGGATTCCTGCTCTGTGTGTCTCAGGTTACACGTGGGACACCAGTAATGTCTGGCTGTGACCCGGGGCCCTGCCACCGCAGGGCTGAGGTGGGCTGAGCTCCCAATGATCTTATTTAGCATTCCCGACTTAGGGATGAGGAATGAAAACAAAACATTTACACCACATCTATTCCCAAATTCAGACTCAGATCACAGGAACACAGTAAGAGCCAGTGCTATCTGCAGTGATGCCCTTTAACAACCGTTTCCACTCTTTGCTCTGCAGAGGCCCAATGAGGTCCCTCTCAGCCACATCAACAGACACTTTTGTGGGTTTCTTGATGTCAACACCAGACCTGGGCACAGATAGAGATTTGTTTAGTTAAACTCAACATCGATGACACAGTGGAGATTTTCACCATCGCCACTATTGTGGAATCCTATAGCTCAGTAGTTAGAGCACTCGCCTGACAAGCCAGAGGACCCTGTTTCAATTCCCGGGTAGGACGAAACATTATGTATGTTTCCTTAGTTTACACGTCAGTACGTTCATTCTTACACCGAGCAAGTAGTAACCCGTTTCCCAGTCGATTGATGGAGCAACTTTCCGTCGGTAATAATCGCATGAAAATAAATGGAGTTGGGACACTGCAGGGCGAAATTTTCTGATGTGTTTGTCCCTCAAAATATACGGTCAGTTCCCTTTTCAGTACACAACAACAACAACAAGATTCCATTTATAGAGCGCCTTTCACGTCGGGAGGACGATCCAAGGCGCTGTACAGTTGGGTCAGGACACAAGCTGAGGGGAAATGGTTAGGGTGAGGGGAGGGAAGGGAGGGAGCGAGGAGGGTGTAGTATATTCTACTAAGTGCTTTTAGACATCTCAACGTTGCGATAAAGTTATCTATGGAATGATAGGATTATTATCGTCATCACAATTTCCTAGAGAATTTGAAGATAGACTGGACAGATATAATATTATGAGCTCTCACACACATATGTTTCTCTGTAACTTATATCATGTTCTGTTACATGCTGAGATTAGTAACGTCACGAACAAGATGAATGCAAGAAACGTTTACGTACCTGTCAATGATGGATTTGATGTCCTACAAAGGAAATGTAAACAAGGAGAGTGATAGTCCATCTTGTACACAGATCGAGACGACCTTAAACGGGTATTAGATGGATTGATGTTTTGGTTCGAGTTAAGTTGAGATAAACTGATAACTCATCCCTCCTACGCAACAGGTCTCAGGAGTGGTGGGTAAGGCATCAATACATAAAGCAATGTGGCCAGAATAATGACAACATGATGACTTAAATGATCGTGAATGTTAAGCCAGTGTCGTGTTATCGGAAGTGTACTGTTTTCGTGAATTAAAACTAAATTTCTCTTGTGAGTCACACAGATTGTACTAAGTAACCCAATCACTTCACGTCAAAAATCATCCTTCCCCCTCGTCAATATATCTTTATAAATTCAGCTATAACACCATAAACTATAGGTCTATCACAACAGACACACACCAGCATTAACACATTCACTGTCTGCCCATCACACCAATAGTAACACATTCATTGTCTGAATATCACACCATACACACATCGCAATAACATATACCCACTGTCTCTCTATCACACCAGACACACCAGCATGAACACACTCACTGTCTGTCTATCACACCAGACACACAGCCTATGCACCTTCAGGAATTCGGTGTTCTGTAGATGTCTTGTCTGGATTTGCGCTATTCTCTGGTTAATAGAAGTAATTTGCTTGGAAGTGTCACTCTTATTGTTTTGTATTTGTCCAAAGATGGCCTCCTCCTGCTCTCTGAGTTTGGTGATAAGGTCTTGATGCTCCTCAGTCAGCAGCGAGTCACTTTAAGCAAATTCAGCGTCGATGTTCTTCCTCAGACGCTCGGCTTGTCTCTGTTACAATAAACACAAGTTTAAAGTTACCCGACACAAGAACAGGGGCTCGGCCTGTCAGTCACGGTTACATTGCCCGTGAACCTGGTGATATCCTCCTGAGGGGGAGGGTAGTGAGGTCTCCTGAACTGAACTGGCTCCAAGGTGAACTGCCTGGCAATGAAATGCCGGCATCGAGCAGGGACTCTGTGACGGTCTCTTGTCCAGTTCCTGAGCCAGGCCGGTCCACAGTATCCAGGGCACTGCTGATAACAGCACAGCCCAGCCTGGCTCATCGACAGGACCTGGATAGGCACACAAGTCACTGTGAGTAAATCTATTCATCTCCTGATAACCCTGCAATATCAAGCCATACCTGGTAGTGTGTTCCTGGCTGGAGACAACAATATCAATGGGATTGGCTCAGAATTGATATACCAACCCCTCACCTCCACTTCCAGTTGAGTAGCTCATTCTTCTCTCTGACATTGGGTCATTTAATCCAACTGTTTATGAAGAGTTTCCAGTGCTTCCTGCAGCTATTGCTGAAAGCAAGTGAATGTAAATTAACAGTGAGAAGGGACAGAGTCATTGTTACTAATTCAGCATATTCCACATGTGTGACAGGGCTGTAATATTGCATTCCACTCCATCAACACAGCAAGTTTCTGGGAACACAACATTCTGACCCAGAGGCCAGTGAGATTGCTGCTCCGTGACCAACTGTACACAATATCATGTCTTTCCCAATATGTCACATAGAGTGTAACTGCACACTGACAAAGTTTCATCTGGTCGACTAAACTTTAACTTGGTCATCAAACCAATCTTTCATATTCAACAAGTGGTTCAGTTGAACAGATTGTGGCCTCTGAGCCAGGAGGTTTTGGGACATTGTGTTCAAATCGGCAGCTATACTCACAGTCAGGTCAATTTAGGGTTCCATAAACCTGGCCGGTATTCCCTTACTTTTGAAGGTTGAGGGGTGATCTGATTGAGGTGTTTAAAATAATACAGGATTTTAGTAGAGCAGCTACAGAGATAGTATTTCTTCTGGTGATGGAATCCAAAAAAAGTAGCATAAATTTACAGTTAGAAATAGGCCTTCATAAGCGAAATCAGGAAGCATATTTTTCGACACCGAATGATGTGGAAATCTGGAAATTTACCCCCAAAAGTCAGTGGATTAATATTGATGTGGATAGATTTTTGTTAGGTCAGGGTTTCAAGGGATATGGAGCAAAGTTGGTGAGTTACAGTTGAGGTACAGATCAGCCATGATCTAAAAGAATGGCAAACAGGCTTGAAGGTCTGAATAGTCTCCTCTTATGCCTATGTTCCTATGTTTTCAATGTATTCTGAAGCACTTTCAGACATCATCACGACGCTGTGTGAAATGTCAGGATTAATGTTAATTCCACGACTTGTGGAGCTCAGCAGCTTCCTTAATGGGAATGACTGTGTGATTCTTGTGATCGTGGGACATCGCACAGACCTCACAGATCTCTCTTTGATCCATTTCACAAAACAGTTTCAGCTTCTCCTCATGCTCTTCGCACTGGATTCCCATCTCTTCCAGCCTCTGATTCAAGCTCAGTCTCTGAACACTGTTAGACAGTGAACCATGTTAGACAGAGTTCTGTTGGGCCGAACACCCCTCTGGAGAATCTGCTGCCTGCACTGTGGACAGGACACACTTTCTTGCCCTGTGCCCCAACAATATAAAATACAGTCTCTGCAGAAGTTGTGGCCGCAGCTTATATTCAACGGATCCGTGTAAAACTCCAGACAGATTGAACAAGTATTTCCTATCTCAGGTTCTTCAGTTCCTGCACAGACGCCATTTCACCATCAGCTCTTTGCTCTGTTTGGTACTTTCACCTTTACCCAAACCAACAAGTGGCTTTGTGGGTGGGGATCACAGACCAGCTGCTGTTTGAAGGGACAGACACCTGAAGGCAAAAGGAACACAGATATTAAGCACATTCGGCCCATTTGTACAGTCGCATCTCAGAATGTTTAACAACAGCACTGATTGACATTGAGCTGGAGAAAATTGGAGGGGACCATTGCCTCGGTTCAAGAGAAAAGTGATCAGTGTAAAGAGTGGCAAGGCTGATGGACTGAGGAAGGGGATCGGGTAAAGCACTTGGCATTGTTTTTCAAGAGCCAAGGCTTGAAGTCCCCAACAACAGCAACAACAGCTTGCAATTATATAGCGCCCTACATGCGTATTAGGTTAGCCTGTTAGAGCGCTTAACAGCGTCGGCGTTTGACTCCGAATTCAGCTAAGGGTGAGTTAGCCCTGAGCACAGTCGAACACGAAAGTCTTCATGTGGGTCTTGAAAGTGGGGAGAGAAGGGGCAAGGCAGAGAGCTTGAGGGAGAATATTTCATAGTTTTGCTGCACAGTGGCTGAAAGCATGGCCTCCGACGTTGGGGCAGAGGGTGGTGCGATTGATGAGTGGGACTACGGGAACTCTCTCCTCGCCGGCCTTCCCGCCACCTCCCTCCACAAGCTGCAGGTCATTCAGAACTCTGCAGCTCGTGTACTGTCCCGCACCAGGCTTCGGGACCACATCACTCCCATCCTCGCTCGCCTCCACTGGTTCCCCATCCCCCAGAGGATTGATTTCAAGATACTCACCTACAAGGCCATTCACGGCCTTGCTCCCTCCTACCTCTGCAACCTACTATCCCCCTACCTAGCTGCCCGTACCCTCCGTTCCTCTGGCTCCGGTCTGCTACACGTCCCCCGCCCCAACCGCCCTAGCATCGGTGGTCGGGCCTTCAGCCTCTCAGCCCCCAGGCTCTGGAACTCCATCCCCCAGTGCCTTCGCCTTGCTTCCTCCATTTCCTCCTTGAAGGCCGTTCTCAAAACCTTTCTCTTTGACCGTGCCTTCAGCTCCGCTCTCGACTCTCTTCCCCCTCCTCGCTCCCTCCCTTCCCTCCCCTCACACTGACCATTTCCCCCCTCCTCGCTCGCTCCCTTCCCTCCCCTCACCCTGACCATTTCCCCCCTGCTCGGGTCATGACCCAACTGTGCAGCGCCTTGGGACGTCCTCCTGACGTGAAAGGCGCTTTATAAATGGAATCTTGTTGTTGTTGTTGTTGGGAGGCCGGTGCCAGTCGAGCAGAGGTGTTTCGCATAGGTAGGGAGCTGCTGGGGATTGAACGGATTTGAACACGAAAGTGAGATCTTGAAGTCGATCCTTGCAAGGAAGGGTAGGCAGTGGAGCCTGAGCCAGAACTGGTGAGATGTGTGTATGGAGCTTGGTCCAGGTCCTTCTTTGGGCAGGAGATTTGTGAATGAGTTGCATCTTGTGAATGATGAAGCTGGAGAGGTGCGACGTTCGTTGGAGTAATCCAGGCGGGAAGTGAGAGCACGTTGCCGGAATCTAACGAGCTACAACCAAACAATTTATCGTAGAAAAGACTGTCTGGGAGGCGAATCCCAAGGAACACACTACCCACTTTTGCTTTGGCTTGCAGAGTTAATAATAATAGTAATCCTTGTATATGATGCAGGGCACCACTCATCTCAACTCATTTAGCTCAGCTCCTCTCAGCTCAGCTCCCCGCCCCTGAGCTCCCCGCACCTCAGCTCCCCTCAACTCAGCTCCCCTCAGCTCAGCTCCTCACAGCTCAGCTCCCCTCAACTCTGCTGTTCTCAGCTCAGCTCCCCAAAGCTCCCCTCAGATCTGCTTCCCTCTGCTCAGCGTCCCTCAGCTCAGTTCCTCTCAGCTCAGCTTCCCTCAGCTCAGCTCTCTTCAGCTCATCTCCCCTCAGCTGAGCTCCCTTCAGCTCAGCTCCACGTATCTCATCTCCCCTCAGCTAAGCTCCCTTTAGCTCAGCTCCACACAGCTCAACTTCCGTCGGCTCAGTTCTCTCGGCTCGGCATCCCGCAACTCAGTTCCCCTAAGCTCAGCTCTCCATGGCTCAGCTCTCCATAGCTCAGCTCCCATCATCTCAGCCCCCTTCAGCTGAGGTCCCCGCAGCTCAGCTCCCCTCAGCTCAGCTCTCTATAGCTCAGCTCTCTACAGCTCAGCTCTCCATTGCTCAGCACCCCTCAGCTCAGCTCTCCATGGCTCAGCTCTCCATAGCTCAGCTCCCATCAGCTCAGCCCGCTTCAGCTCAGGTCACGCAGCTCAACTCCCCTCAGCTCAGCTCCCCTCAGCTCAGCTCCACACAGTTCAATACTCCACAGCTCAGCTCTCTACAGCTAAGCTCTCCGCAGCTCAGCTCCCCTCAGCTCAGCAACTAATTGTTCAGCTCTCCATAGCTCAGCTCCTCACAGCTCGGCTCTCATCGGCTCAGCTCTCCATAGCTCAACTTCCATCAGCTCAGCTCCCCGCTGCTCAGCTCCCCGCAGCTTAGGTCCATTTAAGTCAGTTCCACGTAGCTCAGCTTCCCGCAGTTTAGCTCCCCACACCATATAACCCCACAGCTAAGCTCCTCTCAGATCAGCTCCTTCAACCTCAGCTTCCCTCAACTCAGATACCATCAGCTTAGATCCACTCAGCTCATCTCCACTCAGCTCAGCTCCACTCTGCTCAGCTCCTCTCAGCTCAGCTCCCCTCAGCTCAGCTCCCATCAGCTCAATACTCCACAGCTCAACTCTCCACAGCCAAGCTCTCCGCAGCTCAGCTCCACTCAGCTCAGCAATTAATTGTTCAGCTCTCCATAGCTCAGCTCCTCACAGCTCAGCTCCCATTGGCTCAGCTCTCCATAGCTCAGCTTCCCTCAGCTCAGCTCCCCGCAGCTCAGCTCCCCGCAGCTCAGGTCCATTTAGGTCAGCTCCACGAAGCTCAGCTCCCCGC